AGGTATGCAATGCCTACAGCAACAGGGGGGAAGGGATCATACCACGGAGGTGGGATGCAGCCAGCGGAGTGGGGGTGAGAGGGTTGGGACCCACACCGCAAGGCAGGCATGTTGTGGGGTGTTGGGGTGGGGGCGCAGCCTGGAAAAGCTGCACGACACATATATACAGATTATTATTGTTATTGTTATTGTTAGTGTTAGTGTTAGTGTTAGTGTTAGTGTTAGTGTTAGTGTTAGTGTTGTTGTTATTATTATTATTATTTCTATTATTATTCTTATTGTTATTATTATTATTATCATTATTTTTATAAGATATGTTTGCACGCATACATAATTAATTAATAAATTAACTCATTAATTAGTTAGAAAGAAAAAGACACAAAAGCGAAGAAAGTCATTAATAGATAAATCGAAACTATAACTATATATCTATATATTTATATCAGTATATTTACACAATCTTGTTATTCTGATCGCGATTGCACTATGTATTGTCCCGCCCGTGTTGGTGTCTCTCTCGCTCTTTGTCCCTCTCATATCTAAATGCGTATGTATCTACATATGCAATTGCGTTTACATGTTCATATGCAAGCGCTTACATATATATATATACACACACACACACACGCATGCACATGCACATACACATGCACATACACATGCACATGCTCATGGACGCATACACATGCAAACATACACACGCACATATATATATACACACACATATATATATACATACACAATATATATATATACATATACATACACACACACACACAGAGACACGCACGCACTGCACACATGCACATACACACATATGCGCATACCCACACAATGCGTATGCATGAACACACGCACACACATACATACATATATACATACATACATACATACATACATACACAGATACATACATACCTACAGACATACATGCACGTATGGATACATACATGCATATATACACACACACATACATACATACGTACGTACATACACGCATACATACTTACTTGTATACATACTTGCATACATACATACATACATACATACATACATGTCTGTGCACCTACATACATCCATCCATCCATGCATGCATATATATATATATAGATATAGATATAGATATAGATATAGATATAGATAGATATAGATATAGATCTATATGTGCACATCTTTTCCCTGGGCTCGGAATAAAGCTTGCTTCAACACGATATTTGCCGAACCATTTACAACATTCAATAATTTCATCTGTTGCCGTGTTAGTATCCAAACAGTTTTTCATCCTTAGGTCTTGGACCTGTCATGTGAGGTGGGGTCTCTCAGGAACATTCGCAGCCTTGCAGACTGCGAGGCGCCCGCCGCCGAAGCGAAACGGCCGGAAGGTCTGGTGCCAAAAGAAGAACCGGCGGCGGCTGAGATTCTCAGCTTGCCGGACAGGTGTCAATCGACCGGAGCTGCTGCCAAAGACCGATGCAGCGACCACGCCAGTCATCGATGTAGCCAGGAGTTCCCTTTGTTGTCCGTCAGATTCTGAACTTTCAAGCTGTACCGCGACGTTTCAGCCAGGATCTTGACCAACAGTCAAGAGCGAGAGCTGGCAGGGTACATCGCAGAGATCGAGACTGCGGCGAAGGCCGCATAGCTTCCCGCGTCTCTCGAAGACAGCTCGATGCAGCTTTCCAGGTCCGCTTGCGCGTGCTGACCCAGACCTTCCCCAACACCCCAGGAGAGCCTGGGCCGGGCCTGGGCCGGGGTGTCACGGGAGGCGCTTGAGAGACTCCTCCCTTTCAGGCCTGGCAATCAGAGACTACTGGAAGCCGGATGGCCGCACAGCGCGCTCGGATGCGTCCCAGGCGGTCGGCGGCTCAGTGGCCACTCAGCCAGGTCATCTACGTTCACGACACGGGTGGCTTGGGCGACGGCTACGTGGTGAATTTCAATGCCGGATCGGAGGTGGAGAAGATGCCAAGGGCTCAGTGCTTTGATGCACATGCGCCCGAAAAGAGGCTGTGGCTAGCGCGGCACAGACTCTGTAATCGCATCTCACAGCCGCCCGTGGACGGTGTGTGCTTGGCAGGAAGCCGCTGACCTACTGGAGGCCTTTTTGCGGCAGTTGTTGGCACCAGCATTTGTGATGCAGCGCTCAAGGCAAGTCCAGAACACATACGGGAACCGGTACTACATCCGGGACCGTCTGCGGATGCCTGCGGGGATGCTGAGCAGTCGGGTGTGTTCTGCACCTGTACATGGTTGGCCATCTGGTGGCGAGGACCATGGAGACGGAGACACCGTGATTGATGTCGCCATGCCCTCAACAGCTGGCAATTAGCGTCAGGCTGAGGGGCTGAGCCGCGAAGAAGCTGAGGTCAAAGCCCTGAAGGAGGGCCTGACTCCAGAAGCGAACAGCAAGTAGCAAGTAGCGGCCAAGTTCAGAGGACGTGGAACCCCAAAAGCAACGTTGCAACCAAGCGCCAAGGCACAATGACAAGCAGCAACTTTACGCCATGCACGTCTCGTAGCCGACTCGCGGCCTTCAGCTGCTGCCGCTTTGCGGCCAAAAAAGAGAGACCTTGTCGCGACCCTCGCACTCGGCCTCGGCCTCGCTGTCAAATCTGCGGCTTAGCTGATCTTCAAGACAGTTGCAAGCATGTTATCCAAAAGTCTACACAAGTAGCTGCAAGTTTCTGTCTATGTATCCCTGGTCCATCATTGGCAAACTAAAACAGTTTGAGCTCCCAAAGTTCAAAGTGCTCACAGCCATGGGCGAAAAGGTGCGGCACCGGCTGTTGTAGTGTCCTTTGCGCCCTCAGTGTCGCAGCTGCATTTTGAAGGCTTCGTCCTCCAACAACAGCTTTTGGGTGGCGCTGGCCGCTCTGCTTCTGCCTGCGTTGTGGTCCCAGTCCTGAGCTTAGCGGCTTCGTCTCTTAGCCACTTCGCACTGCGCTCTCCGAAGCCCTCCTAAACTTGGCGCTGTCGTCCCTCGCTGCACGTCGCACTCGGAGGATTTGTCTAGCGAGGTTCAGCCAAGAGCGACAACGAGAACCTGCCGAGATCGTTGAAGACTGAGCCGGGTTTGCTTGCAGCCGTTTCCAGCCAGCGACCTGCTGACACAGCCCTATGGCTCAGAGGATGGGGCGAGGGTTTTTGTTGTACAGTGCAGGGCTCGAGCTTGAGCTTTTGCCGAAAGGAAGTCGCGAGGAAGGCTCGGTTATGTCGCAGCAATGCGCAGCAACCATGCCAGGCCGCCAGGCCATGTGTCAGAAGATGCTTTCCTGTTTTGGTCTCTCGCAGGCTCCAGCAGTTCCAGCAGCGCTGCCTCAGGCACTTGCGGGGGTTCATGAAGAGAGCCTGAAAGAGCTTGTTCTACAGATCTAGAAGAGCCAAAGGAACCTGACAGGGCACCAGGACTTCATCGAATCAGAACTCCAAGCCTGACACATCGGATTAACAGACGATATGTCCTTGACTCCTTCTTTGCGTTGCTGCGTTGCGTGGCTCCTTTGGCTCATAGCTGATGGTGACGTCTGTTGGTCCGACTGTGACTGTGACGAGAATGATACTCAGTTGCAGCCAGATCCGGTATCAGCATTGGTATGAGCTCCCCATGTCACAGTGCTACCAAGGAACGGGCAGATGCTCTTCTCATCCCCACCAGGTGGGCCGCAAGCTTCCGAAGTGGTGCAACCGTGTGTAGCCCAGCACTTCGAGCCATCAGCAGCACAAATGGCCGAGTTCGGGAAGGCTTGGAGCCTGACCTGTCTGCAGCGACTTTCGCGGTGGGTGCAGAAGCTATGGAGGCGCGGTGATTGGGGTGTGTCCTTTAAGATTAACTGTGTGGTTTGGGTTGCTGTATCTATGTCGAATGCTGCAGGATGAGAGGTTTCACTTCCTGACAGCTCGCAGCATAGGTTCATGCTGTGTGCAACGTAACCCTGGAGATCTGACAAGCCTCATGAAATCTAGCCCGGGTGGTTTGGCCTTCCATGGCAGAAGCCCTTCCGTTCCAAGTCAGCCACTCATTTCGCAGAACCAAGCAAGAGCCAGAGGCGCAGCCCACAGGCCCAGGGAGTTAACGACGTCTGGGATACTGTTCGCAACAAGTGCCCCGGTCGCTCGCGCATACATCTTTGAATGCGGCTTGAACATGGTGTTGATCTCACACCCTCTCAACTGCAGGTGAGGCCCGTGACACGCGAGGTGTGAACCTCAGAAGTGTTCCATGTCATTCAGTCACAATGTGTTGTGAATTCAACGTATCCAATTGTGATCCGCAAGCCTGTGACTTTGACGGAGGCTCTGGAGGCCAAGCTGAAAACCCTGAGTCCTGATGCCTCGCACGAGGCAATCCTGGAGGTGCGTCTTTTGTGGTTTTGCTTCGGAGAGTTCAGGGAAGGTCATTGTTGAGCCCGGGCAACCTCAGTTTCACGAGCAATGCCGAAGCAATTTCAGCTGACCTTGGAGAAGGGTCTCGTGAATACGCCATGGAGCCACTGCCCAGCTTGCTGGTGAACCGCTCCCCAGAGAGGCATGATCGGAGCTTAGCGCTTGCTCATTGTGTATGCTTCAGCACGTTCCTGCAGGCCTGCTGGAAAGGTGGCCAGGGAGTTCCTGACAGTTAGCCGTGAGGTGCAGAGATACAAAGGATCCATCTTCAGAAGGATATTCGTTTGAGGAGTGCTGGCCCATCACAGGTGCACCGGCTAAAGGTCGCCTGCATCTCCACTCCAGAGGCTGGTCACCTCGTCCCTGCAGTGCAGGCGCGCAAGGCTACAGTGCTACGGGACTTGCAGTGGTGGTGACTTGTGGCGCAGCCCTGTGCAGATTGCAAAAGCCCTGGCTCGGCGAGGGCATCAGAGTGCCCTGGTCACCTTAGACACTCGGAGATGCGAAGGGCATGCAAAGGGCAAAATGCACACCTTGCAGCGCGTCTACAACAGGACCGAAAGCCGAGGACTGTGCCCGAGAGAAGTTCGCGAAAGGCTGCGAGGCAGCCGGCTGCGAGTTCGTCGGCCTGGCGAGGGGCATCCAGGGCTCGGAGCCATGCTCCGCAAAGCAACACAACGATCCAAGTTGATCCAGGCGTTCAGGGCTTGAAAGTTGGGAGTCCTCCAGCGGAGGATGCCGAGAGTGGACTGGCCGCTGAGCTGACGTCGAAAGGGCTCTTTGGCATCCTCTTCAGGCCTGGCTTGAGCCGAGCATTGGCGATTGATGGGCCCGGCTTTCTCTGATAGGCTATGATTGTTTTTTCCTAGCTCGCAGGTGAGAGCAAACAGGTGGGCCGCCAGGGTCAGGTAGAAAGACAGTGTCCGGTTTCATGCAGGCACTATGACCAGGCGATGAGGGAGGAATTTCGAAGCTGGCTACAGTCGGAGCAGCCAGACGTCGTCGTGGCAGACATGGTGACTTTGGCAGCCGTAGAGCCTGCGAGGGAATGTGGGATCCCTGTCATCTTGAATGTTCCGGGGCCGCTGGAGCTCTTCAAGAACATGGGCATCTCGCTTGTGCTGATGCTTTGCGCCATCTCCTTCCTCAAAACACGGAGCTTCACAGACACCAGAATCATGCTGCAGGCGCTGCGGGCTTCTAGAAGTTGATGCACCCTCGGCGTGCTTGAGTTAAGCCAGCTGCTCTTACCTTCAGGTATTGTTCGATCTCATGCCTGCATTCAGCACCCAGCTATGCTTGGTGAACAGTTTCTTCGGCCTGGATGCTGCATGGCCAGTGCCTCCCAACATCGTCATGACCGGCTCAACAGCCCCAAGACCCTCTTCGATCTTGCGGGAGACCTCGGATGAACGTTTCAATGCGTGGTTGCAGCGAGTGGCTCGGTACAGGGCCATCTTAAGGCTTGTTTAGGTAGCTCCAGCTTTCAAGACCAAACTGCTCTGTTGTCTGAGGTCCGCGGCATGGGGCTCCGGATCATCTACGTGACCATGGGCAGCATGCAGGTTTTGGAGCCCTTCCAAGTACGAGCCTTGTTCGAGGGTCTCCAGGCAGTGTCGCCACGCTGTGCAGTGGCTTGGTCTTTGAAGTCGGAGCAACAGGAGAAGTTGCCGGTCGGCAAAGAGGCATTGCCTGCACACTTCTTTATCCAGAAATGGTTACCGCAGGGCGAGGCATTGGCTCCCTGACGTTGCGGTTGTTGTGACGCATTGCGGCTTTGGTGGGCTTAACGAGACTATTGCTGCTGGAAAGCCACTCGTGGCATTGCCGTTCCGTGCCGACCAGCCCGGCAATGCCAAGCTTGCTCGTGATCGGGGCCTGGCGGAGGTCCTGTCACCGCCAAAACTCACTGCCGCTGCTGTCACCACCGCCGTCAGCAAGGCAGGCAGGTTGCGATGAGCTGCGCTGCAACCGCAAGCGGCTGCAAGCTTGCAAGGTCCTTGCTGATGGCAGCTACGCCCAGCGAGCTTTGGAGCTGCAGCGGTCGATGCTGAAGACCGGAGGCGCAGAGGCGGGGCAAGACACGACCGTTTTAGCAGCTCTGGTTTTGTCCACAACACCGGCGCTCTCCGAAGTTAAATGCAAATCATGCCTTGGTGATGTGATGACATCCGTCCTGGACCAGTGCACCGCAGACCGAGAGATTCTGTGCAGGCCTGTGTAGATGCGATCGAGCACTTTGTTGAGCATGGCGGTTGCGAGGAGCTCTTCGTCAGGACAGTGTTCGCATGTCGTTCTGCGACTAGAACGGAAGTCCCGGGCTCCATTGCGGTCCCTTTCCAGGAAGCCTTCCTGGCATCAGAGCTGTCGCAAAGCCCTTGTGCCTTTCACGCTGATGGCGGTTGGGGCTGCAGGAGCCTGCCTCCCGGCTGCAAGAGATATTGCCCTGTTGAAAGGCACTTAACCTCAGGGTGTCGAAAGCTCCGTGAAAGGCTGAGTTTTTATATACGCAGAATGCTGTGCTTGAGCACTGCGACGGAACATGTTCAAGCATGATTGCAAGCATGTAAAGTTCACATAAGATCACAGTTCATGTTCGCCTGCGAAAGAGTGTGTGCTTGATGGTTCTCGGCACTTGAAGCTTAAGCTTACAGCATAAGACCTTGACCTGGACGGCACCCACCAAATTCGATAATGAACTACAAGTTCAATATGCCCACAACATCCGAAAACCTCAGCAGTTGTCGTTTTGACTGGGCCGGATCTGAGGTTTTGAATTCAATCATTCGTCATATCCTTTAGCCTGCATCCAGCCAAGAGCTCCTGGTTGGCTGTTGTCCATGACCATCTCAGGTGTGTTCCAACGTTACGCCCGGAAAAATAGTTGAATGTGAGCTGCTTCTTCGTAGGAAAGTCGAGTGTCTTGGCATGAAATTCACAGCTTCAGATGGAAGCAAGTGGTTCTTCGCTTGTCCCGGAAATGTACAGCATGACAGCTAGTTCCAGCGCAACTGCCAACGATTGGTTCGCTCGGACCAGATCCGCAGTGAGAGTGGCTGCATAGTAGTTGCGGCAAATGCCGCCAGCTGCAGCACAGGCAGATTTGGCGCATTCCGTGCCTAGCTTGATGGAATCTAGCCAGTTGCAGAAGAAGGGCTGTGCAGCCTTCGGTTCCAGGGCATCAGACAAGCTGCCAATAGAGAACTCCTGCCTTAAAGCAGCTCTCGCTGCAGAAGCCAGGCAATTCAAGAGCTTGTCCTTGCGGAGGTTGAGTACAAGGCGCACCGCAGCATGCTTGAACTTGTCATGTTGACCCAACGGTTGATGCTCAGAACTGTGTGCAGCCTGGGTGAGCTAGGTTTTGGTTCAGCTACTCAGCCAGGTTCAGGAGAAGACGGAAGAGATGTGGAACAGGGGCAAGCAGGCATGCGTGGTGTGTCCAACAGCTTTGCGAATTAAGGGAGTGCGGAGATCAGAAGCCCAGTTTTGCGCCAGGTGGTCGCGCAGATGAAGCCCGCTCCATACATCCGATCACCACGTATGCACCAAACATGCATGTGATGATGCCTTCGTGCATTACGTTGGCTACGTGCTTCAACAAAACTAGGTTTCTTGCAGACAGGGTGTGTTGTCGACAGCCAAATGCCAACATCTGTGCAGTAGCTTGAAATCTTACTGTTTTGATGCTCCGATGCTCCCAATCACTCCCCAATTGCGATGAAGCGTTGTGAAGCTGCCGGATTGGTGTGCGGCTGGAAATCTGCAGTATGCACCTAGCCATGTGCCTTCTCGACTTGCACTTGGGAAGAGGGTCTGTGGGTTTGAAACCTCTCACGAGTCGCAAACATCGCTGGAGCCTGTATCCACACGGTAGAGTTTGCATTCCGGATTCCCCGAACATCTTGGCCGCAGAAACGCACATGTCCAACTACAAGCGGCGCAGCCAGATGCTCTTTCCAGCACGTATCCATCCAGAACTCTCGCTCCAGTCTCCCTTCCAGAGTGTGCGAACAAGCTTCTGAAGCCAAATGGGTTCTGCAGCTTCACTGAAGAAACAGTTTTCTTCCACCCACCCGGCATTCTAGTCCACCTGCCGCCTTTTTTCGGAGACAGCAAGGCTTGGCACTGCTGAGCCAAGTGCAAAGCTGTCAAGCAGACACCACACTGTTGCAGCATGAGTTCGCTGTCATGGTTTTGGACAGGATTCGCAGTAGGGCTTATGCAATGACGTGGTAACATCGTGAGGCACATGGGGCAAAGGCATGGCCAGGCATGCATGGCTACCGTTGGAGATTTGGTGGAAATTAGCCTCATGTAGCAGCTTCCAAATACTTCGAGGCAGTCGCACCTCGAGTTCACTCTAAGGCAGCGCCACCAGCAGACCGTGCAGCAGCACCTGGACGAAATTGCCGGGACCTCGTGGGTTTCGGGCGTGACCTAGGTCAGGGATCTGGCTTGGAGGAAGTCTGGCCAAGGCTCGTCTCAAGAAGAGCAGCCAGGACTTGGAAGAGGAAAATATGCGACTGAATCAGGTGTCCCTTGCACTGCGTCAGCTTGCTTCATCGTGCTTTAAACGCGATTCTTCGGCGATTGATGCACGTGATCAGCTCGTCCACGACTTGGCCACTGGACTCACGGCTGTCGGTGGCAACTACCTCAATGGCAAGGATCTGCCAACAACATGAAGTCATGCTCTTCATGAAATTCATGCTTGTGGACAGTCAGGACTTGCCGTACGGATCTCCGGACTCTTGCGCGAGTCTTTTGGCTGCATATGGCATGTGTGTGCAGTCCGACTCATACTGGTTACTCGCTCACACTGAGGTACTGCAGTCGAAGAGCCCGAGGCCAGTAAACAAGTGGAGGCTTGCTGTAGGACTTGTTACGGCGAGAGCGATGCCGCAACAGTGTTGCAGTGGATGTGGGAAGTTCTATGCCTTCCTGCAACCTTCAAACTGAACATCATCCAGCATTTAGCCCTTTTCCACTTTTGCCTTGGCGGTCGAGGTGAATCTGTTGACAAATATATGGCAAGCACTTCGCGACAGAACTGGGACTGGGCTTTTTTCGGCCCCCGTAGGGCTTTTTTTTGGTACCGTCGGAAAGGCTCTTTTTCTGCCCTGGGTAGGCCCGGCGCTCCACAGCCTCTCGAGCACGCATGGACAAAGTTCAACGAAAGCCCTCCGCCCTGTCCCGGGGTTTCTTTGTATCTCCACAGGGTCAAAAAAGCCGACCCTCCCACACATGGTTTTTTTTCTAAACCGCCCCCGCATGGCCATGGCCCCAAAAAGCCGTCCCCTCAGTGGACAGAGGTTTCATTGGCCCCCTGCAGATTTCTCGGGCCCGAGATGTTGGAATAAAAGCCCTCCTAACCCAACAAAGTGAGCATGAGAAGCATTTTCGGGGTGTGAAAAAAGCCCCACCCGGTCAAGAACAAGCGTAGCGCAACAAGCCAGAACGAGAGCCATGCACTTGTACCGAACACCCATTGACGTAGGCGGCACACAGGCGGCACACAGCCGGAATGGCGTGCAGCAAGTGAGAGAATTTAGACTGCTTAGAGAGATTAGACCGTACACCGCACGTAGGGGCTTCACATGAGGGTGCTCTTGGATAGCGGACAGTCCGGACGACTTGAGATGTTGCTCTCTGCTGTACCGTGTGTGCTGAACCATACAGTATGCTGCATTGTTGCTTTCTTTGCAGGCTGCGACGCCCTTCACTCCCAAGCCACGAACAGATCCAGACACGCCTCCGTCTGCGCTGCCGGAGGTCGGGTCCTGCATGATCGTGATGGTGGTGGTGGTGGTGGTGGTGGTGGTGGTGATAATGGTGATGGTGATGCCCAGGATCATGACGATGGAATGATGATAATTGGGTTGATTGTCTTTATGCTTGCCAAGACCACCGGCAGCAGCTGCTACTGCTGCTACAACTACAACAACAACAACTACTACTACTACTGCTACTACTACTACTACTGCTGCTTCTGCCGCTGCTTCTGCCGCTGCTGCTGCTGCTGCTGCTGCTGCTGCTGCTGCTGCTACTGCTACTGCTACCACCACCACCACCGCCGCCGCCGCCGCCACCACCACCACCACCACCACCACCACGACGACTGCGACTGCTACTGCTACTGC